TCCCCTTCTCCCCCTATTTTCCTGTAGGGTAAGACAGATTTCCATACCCAATTGAATGTCATATACAGTACTTTTAAAATGCACACTGATGTCGGTAGGGTAGATAGCATTATCCTCATTTTGAAGGTGAGGCTCGAAGGGGTTAAGTGATTTAGGTCACACAGCTGGTTAAGTGGCAGAGCAAGACTTCATATCAGGTCTTGTGGCTCCAGACCTGTTAACTCTTTCTGTTAATGACTGTGGGATGATCAAAGGAGATAATTGTAAAACACAGTGCCTGGCACACAGTGAGCACTAAATAAATGTTAGCTATTATTATGATTGTGATTGAAAGACTGGGAGTAACTGGGGGAAACCGACAACTCCCCTTTGGATGGTCTTTAAAATGGGTTGGTCTCTCATCTGTTCAGAATGGTTTGTGAATGAGATAACCTTGAAATATCCGCTGTGGTTTTATTATGGGGCCAAATGGATAACAGCTGTTATGGAATAATGAATGAAACTTGGGAGTCACAGATTATAGGAAATATGGGAAGGAGTAGATAGAACTCAGACTTTTTTTATAGAGGAAAGAAAAAATTATGGAATAGGAAGTGGAAAGAATGGAAATGCCTGGACTTTTTTATATTTTCAGGGAAGGCATTTAGAATCAGAATTTTAAGAGTTGGAAGGACCAGTTTACAGTTGAAAGGAACACATCTTAGGACATCTAGCTCGATGCCTTCATTTTGCAGATATGGAAACTGAGATTGGGAGGGAGGTATAGAGAAGTAGCAGGACAAGCATTTAAGCTCAGGGAATCTGATTCCAAAATCAGGTACACTGATCCTTTCCCTTGACCATACTACATCTTGGTCTTTTTATATACATATATCTATCTATCTATCTATCTATCTATCTATCTATCTATCTATCTATCTATCTATCTTCTATATATCTATAATAAGCTATTTGACATATGAACCTTCCTCCTTTCTTCACACAGGAGTGGGTGGGTCTGAGTATAGAACATTATACTTATTGACAGACTGGATTGATGTGTTAGTTTTGCTAAACTGCTTTTTTTTCTCTTTAATTCTTTATTATAGTGGATGGCTTATTGGAGAGAGAAAAGAGAGATATGTTTAGAAATAAAGGTAATATAAAATAAAAAATCAGTAAAATTAAAAACAATTATTTTGGCTGCCTTGTGATCTTGGGCATATCACCTTTCTGCCTGTTTTCTCATCTGTAAGATCTACCAAAGAGAGACATTGGCATATTCAGGGAATAAGCATTATGATTATTATTATTATAAGTGAGAATACTGATTGATAATGAAATCAGTAGAGACCAACCTAGCAGGTAAGCCAATTAAGCATCAAAAGGTTTTTAAGCTTTAAGGAATACTTGGAAACAAGGGCTTAAAAGTTTTTTGACACAGGGCTTGGGACTAAGGAGTGGATATTTTAGAATATTAAAGATTAAAAATTACAAATTGCCCATATTTAGAACATAACAAATCTGCTAGCCTTGAATTCTGTCTGGCTGTTTTTTTTTGTTTTTCAACCAAAAAAAAATGCCATCTCATGGGAAAAGGAAGGGAAGCAGTATGACATCACTGCTGGATACACTGGGGATGATGTTGAAAAGTTAACATTGATGTTTTCCCTCTTTTTTTTTAAAATTTTATTAATTTATTTTGATTTATCAACAATCACTTCCATATGCTTTTCAGTTTAAAAATTTTCTCCCCCTTCCTCTCCACCCCCCTCCCCAAGACGGCGAACAATCTCATATAGGCTATACATTTACATTCCTATTAAACATATTTTCACATTATTGAAGTTGTAAGTAAAAAATTAAAACCAATAGGAGGAACCATTAGAAAGAGGAACCAAAACTCAACAGAAGAGAAAAAAAATGATAGCAGTTCAACTTTCATAGTTCTTTCTTTGGATGTGGACAGCATTTTCCACTATGGGGCCTCTGGAGATGTCTTAGATCCTTGTATTGCTGAGAAGGGTTAAGTTTATCAATATTAGTCATCGAACAATGTGGCTGTTATTGTGTACAAAGTTCTCTTTGTTCTGCTCATTTCACTCAGCATCAGAGCATACAAGTCTTTCCAGGTTTTTCTGAAGTCAGCCTGTTCATAATTTCTTATAGCACAATAGTATTCCATTACATTCATATACCACAACTTGCTCAGCAATGTTTTCCCTTTTAGTGAATATATAATTCATTACTTCACAAAGAGTATCTATTAAGAGCCAAAGGTACTAAGAGTAAGTATGAAAGCTCAGTTTCCCAAAAAGTGTCTAGGACTAGGGAAGGAAGGATACTAATGTTTTATGCCCCAGTCAGACCACATATGGATACTGGTACTCAGCTCTGGCTAGCATGTTTTCCAAAAGACACTGATAAGTTGGAGGACCCAGAAGGCAACCAGAATGGTGAGGGGCCTGGAGATCATACCATATAAGTGTGAATAGAAGGAATGGGGAAGTTCAGTCTGAAGAAGACTTAGCTAAGGCAGGGATGATGGGGGGAGTGGAACAAAACTGATGACACATGGTAACTCCACTGAAGTCCTTTTAGCGTTGTTTTGTGTTCTCCTTGGTCCCAGATAGCACAATTAATAGCAATAGGTGGGAGTTTCAAAAAGGCAACTTCAGGCTTGATAGAAATTCCTCATCATTAGAGCTATCCCAAAGTGGATTGGGTTGCCTTGGGAGGTAGTGGGTTCTTTCTTACTAGTTGTGTTCAAAGGCTATATACCCCACGAGAGATAGTTTTAGAAGGGATTTTTATTTAGGTTCAGTGCTGCCCCCTCCCCCCAATATCCCTTTTCAGTGGGAGATTCTGTGAAGTTTTGTTGGCGCTTTTAATTGAGAATTGTAATTAAAAAAAAACTCTCCAGGAAGAGAGAAGCAGTCAAAAGAGAAATGAAACATGGGCAAAAAGTCTAGAGAAAGTAAGTGAAAGGAGGCCACAGCAAATGCTCAGAAGCAGCCTTTCAAAACAGGTCTGTGAAAATGGGGTACATGCTAGGTGAAGAAATGAAACCATTTGATGACTGCTGCAGCTGGAGCTGTGGGTGAGTCATTGACTTGGAAGCTTCCCAAATCTCCATTTTGAAGGAAGTCTGTGAGTGGCCAGAAACACAAGACTGTGCCTGTGCGCCTCTACTGTTTTCATTTCTGGTTGTTAAGGGAAATACCCCAACACAAACAAAACTGTTGGAGAACTACAGGACAGGATACTGGTTAATGCTAAGAGTAGGCATTTACATAGTAATTTGGAATAGAATTTTACAATTCAAGCCTTTCAGTTAATCTGAGCCAGCTCACCAGCCCTGATTTATAAAACAGGAGTCAATCAACCCACAAGCATTTATTAAGCACCTTTTGTGTGCCAGACATAGTACATGGTTTGATGTTTTAAGCTATGCCTTATAGGCCAGCATCCCATAGAACTTTTTATTTGCCACTCAGTGGTACATCCATAGTTTAAACTAGTAGATAGAAAAAGGGACTTGGAATCAGGAACACTGAGTTCAAACCCCACCTTGGATACTAGCTGCGTGGCCCGGCTAAGTCACTGAACCTCTTTGCCTTAGTTTCCTTATCTATAAAATGAGTATAATGATAGCACATACTTCAAAGGATTATTGTGAGGCTCAAATGAATTAAATTATGTAAAGCACCTTGCAAATTTACATGCTATTTTTTCTAAGCATAAACTACACATTAGTGAAAAGCACAAGATATAGTAAACCGGGGAAACAATTCTGCCTTTTGTTGCTAGTTGTTAACATACCCACTTTCCTTTTGTGGAAATGAAGTGGGGTCAAGTCATCTCCTTAACCCAATCTCCCTTACTTCCTCCTCAAGAAGCTCTTACATTCTTGTCCTGGTTTCATTAGTCTATTTCGTGAACTGCAGTGTACTGAATTACTGTATTTAAAAGAAGTATGGTGGGTCAGGTTGGTTCTTAATTGGTTAGAAATCACTGGAGTACCATTGACATACAGATATCAGAATCAAACACCCCAATCAGCACTGATTAGCAGCATAGGTTGTAAAGTAGGTGGTAGATTTGTCATATCAGGATGTCTGATTATAGCAAGTAGTTCCCCAAAGGAGAGGAACTGAGGCTGAGGTGTCATAAGTGAGTGCCTCTGTGCAATACTATCACTTCCTATTTCACAGTGTCTTTATTTCCTTTCTGGGTCTTATGTTGTTTTATTACCCCAGTCGAAAAAGAGATGACAGTCCTATGGGGGAGTGATGGATCAGATGACATCTTATTTACTTATTTGAAGATACCCAGCTATGACCAGGGGCCCTGACTCATGAGAATGGAAAGTCAGACCTTCATTCCTCTATTATCAGTCTGAATATTTACTTTTTTTTCTCTATTAGGCATTTATGGTGATGAAGCCTACAAAATGGCACTAAGGCCAACTCCAGTTTCCTGTCCTACTGGTTTTACCAGGAAACTTGTTCCCCATTAAATTTGAACACTTTAGGACATGGATTATGGAAATCTTAACTTTTGTTGGTTAAATGGCCCAAGAATTTACAGATTAGATAATGAAACTTAATTATTTAGGTAAAGCATCCATTGCTAGAGGGCATTTTGTCTCCTTCCACAAGCAATGAACTTAGCATGTTTTCACCTGCCTCTCTTATTTCAGTACCTAAGTCTAAGTCAGGGGTGGGGAACCTTCGGCCTGGAAGCACATGTGGCCTTCTAGATCCTCAAATTTGACCCCTTGACTGAATCCAAACTTCATAGAACAAATCCCTTTGATAAAAGGATTTGTTCTGTAAAACCTGGACTCAGTCAAAAGGCTGGACCCCAAGGACCCAGAAGGCCACAGGTTCCCCAACCCTGGTTTAAGTTCTTAAATATTGTTTTATCAGATATAATGGCTCCACTTTAGCTTATAACTTGATAAATTCAGTGTTCATGATACTTTTTTAAAAAACAAAAGTAAATTCCGAGAAGCCTCCTTCCTGACAGAAAATGAATTTTATTGGCATAAACATAGGCTACAGATCTTTTCCTAGAAAAAAATGGTAATTTATAGCAATACTCGTGTTTGTAGTAAATATAATTTATAACAATACTCTACATTTATTAATTTCTCCTTTATTTTCTTTTTCTACTTGATTTCAGTCTATCCACTAAGGAAAGTGGCTTTTTAGTTTTATAGGCCACACTCTTCTTGATTCGTTCCCCCTTGACATCAACAATGTGAGGCAAAAGAGGAGGCTGCCGAATGGTCAGAGTTGTTCCTTGAGGTGTGTAGCCTCGAAGATGGAGTCTGTCCTCTGATAGCGATGTTATTGCAACCCAACCTGTGTAAGAAATGATGAACAAACATCACATGAAATTATTAGATGCCTTCCTACTAAATCAAAGATGGACAATACACAAATAAAAAGAACTTATGAAAGAGTAGTAAAACAAAACAATTTCTCTGCTTAAAAAAGTATATATGTATACTCAGGTATACATATACAAATGACTAGTTAACACAATGCTTGAGAAATACTAATTTTTTTTTCTCCCCAGAATGGTCTTTTTTTAAAAAAAGGCAATGGGGTTAAATGACTTGCCCAGGGTCACACAGTTATTTAAGTACCAAGTGTCTGAGGCCAGATTTGAACTCAGGTCCCTCCTGACTCCAGAGCTGAACTCTATCTACTGTTCCACCTAGCTGCCCCTCAAAATGGTCTTTATTCTATGATTAGGCATGTCTGTACAGCTTAGAATATCTTATTTACACCAACTATTTGCAAGAATTACAATCACTTGGGCAATTCTAAATGTAAATGTGTGCCTATTTCAAATAATTTAAACTTTTAAAAAGTGTTCAATGTTCAATTACCAGCAGTTGAAAACTTGATATCAGCCACTGCCTCAAGTTTCCCAATTCCTTCCAATGTAATGTCTTGAGAAACCAGAGGTGGGAACTCTGCCATTCTTTCAACTCCACCCATTGGAACCTATCATTAAAAAAAAAAGTTTAGAAACTCAAAATAAATCCATGATTCTTAAGAATGAAGTAAATCACTGAAATCCTATGATCAGGCAACAAAGAAGGATAAGACTTTAACTTTCTGTAGTTCAAAAATATAACTGTAAGAAAAGCAAATCTATAAACCATACAGAAGAACAAAATGTCAAGTAGGTGGGGCTCAGTGGATAGAGCAGTGGGCCTGGAGTCAGGAAGACCTGAGTTCAAATTTGGCCTCAGACACTTGCTAGCTGGGTGACCCTGGGCAAGTCACTTAACTTCTGCTTGCCTTGATCCACTGAAGAAGGAAATGATAAACCACTCCAGCATCTTTGCCAAGTAAATTCCATAGACAGTATAGTCCACAGGCTCATGAAGAGTTGGACAGGACTGAACAACAAGAACAAAAATGCAACTACGATCAAGTGCTTTTTTCAAGATGAACCCTACAAAGTATAAGAAAATTAGAATGTTGGCTAAGTATTTGGGTACCTAAGGCAATCTCTTCCCTTTAATGACCAAGGTTGTATATAAATCTGAACCATGATTAGAACTAAGTGGAATACTACCCCAAAATTACTGGCCACAAGTCAAGACTCAGCCACTGTATTGTACACAGCTCTGTGAAGGAACAACAATGCCTGAAAACCTCTTATTCCCAGTTTAAAGTTTAAGAAAAAAAAAAGGCGTCAATTCCTCTGAGGCCTTAATTAGAAAGTGCTCACAAAGTATCTGAGCACAAGTAGTGAACAATTTGAACAGTTTTAACCTATGCACTTTCATCACCAGGCTTTGATGGTCCTTTCCCTTCAAACTCAGTGTTCAATTTGTACTGTTTCTTCATTATTTTTATCTAAACTGGTTTCTACTCTCACCCCACTTAAAGGGAACCCAAAGGTTTTTTTGCTCCTCTTTTCATACAGTTTCTTGCAAACAAGGGACAAGAAAGAGTATGGGGCCAGTGCTGGCAGAAAGCATAACAAAGACTGTGCTGTGGTTAAGTTTCGTCCTAACAAAGGCTCTACTGGCCCTGCCGTGTCAATCAGGAATGTGTGCTGGGCTTAAGGGGCTATCACATGTCGCGATAGCCACAGACAAATGCAGTCACCAAAATATCCAGTTACCTGAAGTAATGCTTGACCTGCATGCTTCTGATAGATGGTATCTGCTTTCTCCAAGGCAGTAATGTGGATTGAAAGTAAGTTTGATGCCACAACAGAAAACCACACTGATGTATTTCCCTGAAGAAGTAAAAAAGCTAAAACACTTTTCCAAACATGAAAAACAAAAAACCAAACTTACAAAAATATTATTTTTTAAAGTTAATTTAGGGCAATAACAAAAATGTAAACTATTATACTTTCTTATGAGCAAAATTCAAAGCATAGAAGTAATCAATGTGCCTTAATTTACATCTTCTATGCAAAGTACCATTTAAATACAAATCAACCATTATGAATATCTATAGATGTGCTTGATAATTTTTTATTAAAAACTGAAAAGGTGTCTTTTTATTCTGAAAAATAAGGCCTATATGTAATTTATGTAGTCCACACACACCCTATCACATTTCTGTGCTTTTATGTTTGTAAACAGCAGTCTGTCCTTTGCAGGTAAGCTCAAATACCCCATTTCCCCCCCTTATTAAATCTCTATTTCTGTAAAGTTAACTAGTTATTTTAAGATTTATAATCAGTTTTCAGGTTGTCCAATGACCAAAATTTCTGGGACTATCCAGAGACGATGGATAAAATGTTGGAATTAATATTCTGATAGAAACAGAAAATGATTTTTATCTTTTATTTAAAAGTTTAGGCCTTTACACAGTACAACAGAAGCCCTAAAATATGTCAGGATTAAAAAAAAAAGGATGGAAAAAAACCATTATCACCTGCTAGGGAAATCAGAAAGCAAATATTTATTATAGAAGAGAGAGAGAGAGAGAGAGAGAGAGAGAGAGAGAGAGAGAGAGAGAGAGAGAGAGAGAGAGAGAGAGAGAGAGAGAGAGAGAGATATGGGTGTTACTAAAACATTACTTTTGCAGTGAATTTAAAATCAAATTCTTCCTGTTTTTGTAATGAAGAGCTACGGTAAATATGATCCTGATTTGCCAAACCAAGGAATTTCTAGCAAAAACTATCAAATTACAAACGGTAAGCTTCTGATCACTACCAAAAGTAAAAGTTTTACTTAAAGCCTATTACTTGAAAATAGCTTTGTTAATCTCGTTTCTGAATCAGAAGCAAACTTTAAAATATTTACATTAAAGCAGGCTATTATAGATTGCGACTTAATATGTAAACAGATGAATATTTTAACCTAGACTCTTATGTGCTATTTCTTCCCAAGCAGACAGGAGCCCATAACACATTTCTTTCACAAGTGAATATGGTCTTGTAAGTGGCAAGGACTCAAAACATGATGAGCCTGGAGTTTCACCCCTACCTTGGTCAGATTGATTTAGTGACCTCGGATACACTTGCATCAATTTTTCTCATTTCTCCAAATCTAAATAAAATAGGGATGACTCCCAAGAGCGCCAAAAGATGCTATATAAATATGATGACACCAGAAAGTTTTTTTTTTTTATTAAACTCACTGTATAACAGATCAGAAATAAGGAAACCTGACTCCCTTGTGTTTCTGTAAGGCACATATCATATCTTTACTTGAGTGTTTGACAAGCATGTGATTTCCGCATGAACAATACCAAAGGAAAAGAAAAATATCCTGACCTAAATGCCAAGCTCTTTTGGTAACACTCAATATCCTGAAGAAGATACATTATTTAAAAAAAACCAGAACAGCACAAAGTGCTTAGTCACATTTTAAAAAGGATATCATTTTGCTTACCTGTAGGTAATCTAAGCGTCCCAGAGCACCCAAAAAGAGAACCATTCCAGGTTTCAAAATAAAGGTTCTTGGGACAATGGAATGTGCTGGCAAAACAATCTTTACTTCCTTTTCGGTCAGATAATTTAAGACCTGTGAAGAAAATGGCATGAAATTTTGTGAACTTACAGTTTTTAATTTAGTCACTCTCCTGGGCCTCAGTTTCCTTAACTATAAAACAAAGAAGATGGACTAACTGGCCTGAGGTCCCTTTCAGCTGCAGATCTCTGATCCTATGAATCTTTGAGCTAAGTTAAGCTGAATAGTGAAAGTTCTGATATTCGCCATAAAAATCAACCTTGCTATATGTTATTTTCAAAACATTTAAATTTTAACTGTGGACAATATAAAATATTTGGGAGTCTACCTGCCAAGACAAACCCAGGAACTATATGAACACAATTACAAAACACTTTTCACACAAATAAAGCCAGATCTAAATAACTGGAAAAATATCAGCTGCTCATGAGTAGGCTGAGCTAAACAATAAAAATCACAATTCTATTTAAATTAATTTACTTATTCAGTGCCATACCAATCAAACTGCCAAAAAATATTTTATAGAGCTAGAAAAAATAACAACAAAATCCATCTGGAAAAACAAAAGGTCTAGAATATCAAAGGAATTAATGAAAACAAATGTAAGGGAAGGTAGCTCACACATACCAGATCTAAAACTGTATTATAAAGCAGCAATCATCAAAACTACTTGTTACTGGTTTAAAAATAGAGTGCCAGATCAGTGGAATAGGTTAGGTACACAAGACACAGTAGTCAATGACTATAGTAATCTATGGTTTGATAAACCCAAAGATTCCCGCTTCTGGCTTAAGAACCATTTAACAAAAATTACTGGGAAAACTGGAAAATACTATGGCAGAAATTAGGTATAGACCAACATCTTATACTATATATCAAGATAATATCAAAATGTGTACACGATTTAGATATAACAGGTAATAATATAAGCAAATTAGGAGAGCAAGGAATAGTCTACCTGTCAGATCTATGGAGAAGGAAAGAATTTATGACCAAACAAGAGAAAGAGAACATTATGAAATGCAAAATGGATAATTTTGATTACATTAAGTTAATTACATTTTGCACAAAGCCAATGCACCCAAAATTAGAAGGGAAGCAGAAAGCTGGGAAACAATTTTTACAGCCAGTGTCTCTGATAAAGGCCTCATCTCTAAAAGATAGAAAATGGAGTCAAATTTATAAGAACACAAGTCATTCCCCAATTGATAAATAGTCAAAGGATATGAATAGGCAGTTTTCAGATGAAGAAATGAAAGCTATCTATAGTCATATGAAAAAATGCTCTAAGTCACTACTGATTAGGAAAATGCAAATTAAAACAACTCTGAGGTACCACATCACACTATCAGCCTGGCTAACAAAACAAAACAGAATAATGACAAATTTGGAGATGTGGGAAAATTGGAACACTAATGCATTGTTTGTGGAGTTGTGAACTGATCCAACCATTCTGGAAAACAATTTGGAACTATGCCCTAAAGGCAATCAAACTGTGCATACCCTTTGATCCAGCAATACCACCACCAGGTCTGTATCCCAAAGAAATTGTAAAAAAGGGAGAAGGACCCACATCTACAAAAATATTTATAGCAGCTCTTTCTGTGGTGGCCAAGAATCGAAAGTTGAGGGGATGCCCATCAATTGGGGAATGACTAAACAAGTTGTGGTATACTGAAATACTATTGTTCCATAAGAAATGGTGAGCAGGCAGATGTCAGAAAAACTTGGAAAGAACTGCATGAACTGATGCTGAGTGAAGTGAGCAGAACCAGAACATTGTATACAGGAAAAGCCACACTGTAAGATGACTGACTTTGATAGACTTAACTCTTCTCAGCAATGTAATAGTCTATGACAATTCCTAAAGGAAAATGCTATCCATACCCAGACAAAGAACTATGAAGTCTAAAAGCAGATTGCAGCATACTATTTTTTCTTTCTTGTGATTTTTCCCTTTTGTTCTGATTCTTTTTTCATAACATGACTAATGTGGAAATATGTTTAATATGACTACACATGTATAGCCTATATCAAATTGCATGCTGTCTTGGGGAGGAGGGAAAATTTAGAACTAAAATGTTATAAAAGTGAATGTTGGAAACTAAAATAATTTAAAAAAACTGAATTTTCTGATGGTTCTAACTTTTAAGATAAATATTATTTGGAATATATAATTCCTATTTAGCATCTCTCATTGTCAGTACAGAGCTATGTCTCTCTCTCAAAAGTTAGTTAAGCTGAAAGTTTCGAAGTACTAGATTGACAAGATTTCTGATTTAAGCCTAGTCCTTAAAAAAAACAACAAAAAAAATTTTTTTAAATGCCCTTTTCCTTGATACAGCTATGAGGATGGTAGTTTTCAGAATATGGTTTGTGAACTACTAGTGAGTCCAAAATGTAAACCACATAAAATCTGATCCTATTTTATAGTGCAGGTTTGAATTGACCTCACAAAAACTGAGCAAAGGACTTTTTTGTAAGCCTTGAAGCGCTCAACATAATCTATTTTCATAGTGATTATACCACCTAGTAGAATGCTGTGCACATAGTAGCCCTTTAATAACTGAAGGAATGTATCATTATTTTTAAAACACAAAAAATAACATTTTAAAAGCTAGCCAAAAAGATGGTTATTTTCCAGGAATAGTCTGCTAGACTGATGGGGGAGGGGAGATAGGAAGGAGGAAAGGAAGGCTGAAGGGCAGTGTCAAAGTGAAAGTAGGGGGAGAGTTTCTGAAATTGAGAATCACTTATCTCTAATGTCCCTTTTAGCTCTAGAATTCTATGACTTAAAATAAAACATTTTCTGTGACTTAAAGTAAAACATTTTAAGAAATTTGGTAGAGAAAAATAAATGCCCATCTGTCATTACCAACTAACTTCATGATGGAAGTTATGGATTCACAGATGAAAGCATGATTTAAATCACTATCTGGTACATAATGACAGTGCATACAACTAGGTGGCTTGGTGGATAGAGCACTGGGTTTGGAGTTGGTAAGAGGAGTTCAAATCTATCCTCAGATATTTACTGGCTGTGTAAACCTCAGAATATATTTGCTTTAGTTTCTTCAACTGTAAAATGGGGATAATAACAGCACTTACCTTACCAGCTTGTTGTTGATCAAATGAGATAATATTTTTAAGGTGTTTATTAGTATCTGGCACAGTAGTTGCTATATAAATGTTAATAGTTGCTATGTAAATGCTAATTATCTTTACGCGCCCCCCATCTATATAGGATTACTTTTTTATTTTATGCAGCTATCCAACACTATCAAATATTTGATGTTACTAGCATCATTTCTATTTAGCTTTCTTTACATTAAATATTAATTTCCTTATTAAATTATATTATCCACCTTCCCCGTGACTCGCACCACCCCCATAAATGTACAAGTGAGATGTCTGCAATGGAAATTCCATGTTCACAGAGTCACTTGCCTGTAGGGAGAAAACCACATTTGCACATTTGTTCTATAACATGCGGTGGAACTAAGTCCGAAGGTAAGGGTTCTTTGCCCAACACTTCCCCCAAATTTATCTTTTGCTAATTTAGACAGGACCTTCTCACTGTTGTTAATCCTTTCTAAATGAAACAAAATACATACACAATTTTCTTTTACAATTCCAGGGGTATCATAAAACCAGTGAGCATCTTTCACTTCTTGAGGTGTCAATTCCACGCGCCTGGCAGGTGCAGCATCATGCGTTATTCTCTGAGGCTCATTCTCCATGTCAAAAGCAAGTGAATCAGCATCAAATTCGAAAGTGGTTTCATCATTTTTTGGAGAACAGAATGTTCTTCCAACTCTTCCTACAACAAGAGAGTAGCTTTGAAGTTATTGATCTTTAAAATGTTTGAATTTCCACCTTTTATGTACGTCCATTTCAATTCAGTTACTATGTAGGGACTAAGACTAAATCACAGAAATATTAAGGACAGGTAGGTGGATACTTTTGGTTAAGTCACTTAATCTCTTTCCTAGACCTATTTTCTTTATCTGTAAAATGAGGTCAGACTAGATCCCTTTTGAGGTCAATTTCAGCTCTAGACCTAGAAAATAGTAAGTACTATGCAGCCTATGGCATCAGCACTACAGTATGGTAAATGGATTTAGCATAGAATCACAGATTTAGAGCTCCAAGGGACCTCCAGAGTAAGCAAGTGGCAGGGGAAAGAGTTAAAGGAATAGAGAATTAAGTGTAAATGTTAATATTTTATATGTAGCTGCATATATGGGAAGAATTCAAACTGAGACTGAGCAGCAATGAAGATTTAAAACACAATGGCTCTCAGCATTAGTTGGCAGCATCACCGCTAGCAGGAAAAGGAACATGGGTTAGTATCCGGGTACAACATGGAAATGACAATCTTTACTACTTTTTGGAGTCTCTGAACAGGAAAGAACATATCAGATAACTCACAGGATGAAGTTAAAAGGGCTACTGCGTCTGACAATGGAAAGGCAACTTATTCAACTTTACAACCCTACTATGCTACTCCCACTCCCCACAAAAACCAAAAACAAATTCTCCTCCATTTTCTGAGTGTTTTACCCATCTGTGCTTTTAAACAGTAGTTTAGTTAAGAGGTCACCCTTATCATTCTGAGTTTTGATTTCATGTTCCAGAGCAAAGGATTAAAAGGGATTTAGTCCATAATCTGTTCCTTAAGAAGACACTCACCTACTAAATAAGCCTGCTTTTTCATTTGATTAAGATGCTTTTGCTCTTGCTCATTAAGATCATCTTCACTTTTAGTTGCTTCTTCTTTAAGTCTCCTATTCCTTTCAAACATTCTGTAAGGAGTAGGGTTGCTAATAGGAAATTTCAGGAGATTTAAAGTTGTTCCTGAAATATCAAAACACACGTAAAATTTTACAATGATGAAGCAAATAAAATGCAATGTATTTTAGTGCAAAGTCTTAATCAATAAAGACAAAAACAAAAAGTTGTCTCTTTTCCTCTTTCCCAGTGATTATCGACTCCAAGCATTCATTATACTGGCCACGCAAGGAGACAGGGAGGGTGCACTAAACATAGGCTTTGTCTTGCCTCGTGGGGATGCATGAAACAAGTCAAGACCCCTTAAAGAGTAAACAAAAGGGGGCTACAAACGAATAAGGACCCAAGAGGGGTTGAGCAGGGTAAGGTCCCAGACACCTCCTCGTGGGCAAAAGAGGAAGCACCTCGACAGCAAGAGTTGGATGGGGCAAGGGAGGACTTAAATGTACATGCTAAGTGCTAGGGATAAAAAAAAAGGAGGCAAAAGACTGTCCCTGCCCTCAAGAAACTCACAATTTAACGGGGGAGACAACACCCAAACAAATATACACAAAGCAAACCACATCGAGGATACATGGGGAGAAATTAACAGGGGTAGGGTTGGGGAAGGCTTCCTGTAGGGGGTGGGGTGTGAGCCGGCCCCGCAGCTCACCTGGCCAGGTGGAGATGGTGGCCCGGTCGATGGCGTCGGCGCCCTTGGCGATGCAGTAGTCGGACTGCAGGAGGGTATTGAAGAGTGTGGACTTGCCGGCATTGGTGGAGCCCACCAGGTAGACGTCGCCCCGGTAGCGCCAGGAGCGCTGCAGCGCCGAGATCATGTCCTCCACCCCGTAGCCGGTCTTGGCGCTGATAAGCAGCACGTCCTGGACCAGACAGCCGGGCTGGGCCGGCTTGCTCTCCGGGACCCCCTCCTGGGCCCCGGCCCCAGCTCCGGCCGACCTCCTCTTTGCCTTTCTGGGCGCCGGCTGGAGACCTGCTCTGGCGCATTCGTCCCACAGGCGCTCCCGGAGCCTCCCCAGGTAGCCAGGGGAGTCCCCGGGCAGCAGGTCCACCTTGTTGCCCAGCACCACCAGCTGCCTGGGCCCGAGCAGGTCCGGCAAGTCCGGCAGCAGGGGGTCCGGCAGGTCGAGCACGTCCACTAGGTAGAGCACGAGGGCCGGCCCCGGGCGCCGGAGCGCGGCGTGCACCAGCTCTCGGTACTGCTCCCGGTTCACCCGCACCCGCAGGGCCCGCTGGTGGTGCAGCAGGAGCCAGCAGCGCTGACACACGGCCCGGGCCAGCCCGCCCGCCTCGGGCTGCGCCTCCAGGCTGCGGTATTTCTCGCTGGGCAGGTAGCCCGGCAAGAAAGGGTCCTGGCAGTGCAGCTCCGCCCCGCAGCCGGAACAGTTCACGCCGCTGGCCGGCACCGTGGGGTCGGGGCTCCCAACCAGCGGGTGCTGCCTCTTCTCGCGGGTCTTCCTCTGCTGCTGCGCCAGCCGCCGCTCGTCCCGCAGCAGCTGCTCCCGCTCCTCCTCCTCCTGCCTCCGCTGCAGCTCCGCCGACACTGACGGTTCGAGCTCCGGCTCGGGGACGTACTCCGGGAACACGAAGCTCTCCTCCAGCCGGCGGGGGTCCACCATCGTGCCCACGGCCAGCGCCCCTCGTCCTCCCCTCGCTTCCTGGCTTTGCTGCAGGCGCACCGGGGAGAAGGCAGAGGCGGCCGGAAGGCCCGGGGAGAGCCACAGCGCCGGGGAGCCATGGCGCGCGGCAAGAGGCGCGGCCCTGCGCCGCAACTGGAGCAGCAGCCGGCGCGACAAGCTCTGGGGAAGCATGGGGACCGTGGCGTGCGCTCCCAGACAGAGGGAGGCGCGGCGCGAGACTCGAGCACGTGTCCGCTAGACCTCCCCGTACGGTGGCCTAGGAGGGACTTGTCACCCGTCAACGTCAGCCTCTGGTCGCCCTTCCATACTCCTCTTGGGAAAAGGTACTCTCACGTATTAACCTTTCTTCAATTTAAAAATCAATGGCTGGCCATGGATTTAGGATTAAAGTTTAATAAAGTAATAAAAAAAATAAAATAACAAAAACAATAAAAGCGGATGTAAAAGGGATCAAAGTAGATTGCAGATTTTTCGCTTCTACCCTCAAGTCCCCAAAGCGTTTACGAAAGGCAATATTGCAACCTAAGCATTTATTATTTCAATTTCTCTCATTCCTCCCTGAAGTAATAACAGGTTGAAAATCACTCTAATCTAGGTATTTGGTCTCCTACCCCCAGACACCGCGACAGATCTAGAAACATTCTTCCCACCTCAATGACGCTAGGCTGCTAGAGGCCCGAATCCCACCAGTTCGTAAACGAGTTCACCACACAGCGCCGCCTCCTCGGCACACCGCATGCGGCGGCGCAGTCGGAACGCAAAAAGGCCCGCCCATTCTGCGCTGCGCAACCACAGAACGCAGCGCACTCAACCTCGGCCTGAGCGGAAGTCGGAGCAGGAACCGGAAGGTTCTGGACCTGAGTTGTAGGGTCAAGGCGCAAGGTCTGCCGGGAACGCCGGAAACTCAAGTGCGCTCGAGTTCGCTGGTCTGTTGCAGTGTCGTCTGCTTCTTTTTGTTCCTTGATTCTTAGGCTTATTAAGAACTATTTGTCAAGATGTACGACGCGGACGAGGGTAAGAAACCCACTTATGAACTCCTCATGGGCACGGCCAAGGGGGGATGGGCTATTTTTTTTTTATTGTTTTTAATTACCCATGTTCCCGAGGGTCCCACTTCTAACGTTGAGGCCCGGGCAGCACTGAGGTCCATGACACATAATGAAAAGAGCTGGTGATCCTGGCGCTTCTGTGTCTGTTACGCGAGAGTCCAGCCTTGTTTCTCCAAAAATTCCTCATCCTCCCATCTTGTCTTTAATGGTCACCTTAATTTTATTAATGTATCTTGGTTTTACATTACATTCGTCCCCGAATGCATGATCCTGATACGTGTCCCTTACACTGGAGTCTAGCCTAGAGCCTCCTAACCTGCCTTGTCCTCCCATCTTGTTTTTGATTAAGCTATCTTAATTTTGTTTATGAATCTTGTTTTTTTACGTTACATTTGTCTCTGGATATAGTGCTATCACTTTGTTATTCAGCGAATCATTCCTTGTAACAGATTTTGAGAAGAGGCTCAGCAAATCCAACAATTTGTTTGACTGTATAGACAGTGTTTTCCACCCATAGTATCCCACTTCTTGAAGGAAATAGGAGGTGAAATCTTCTTGGGGCCACCTAATCTTTTTATACTTGTTTCCTTTTCTGTAAAATGAAGGGGTTGGCTCAGATGGATTCTAAAGTTCCTTCTAGGTAAAAGTCTGCAGAACTAGGAATATCATTCTTTTTTTAAAAAAATTTTTCCCCCCAATGACATGTAAAATTTTTGACATAAGCTTTTTTTAAAATTTTGAGTTCCAAATACTCTCCCTCCCACCCTTCTCCCCTCCCTAACACAGCAAGCAATTTGATATAGGTTATATTGGTACAGTAATGCAAAACATTTTCATAATAGTCATGTAGTGAAAGAAAACAGACCCCCCCCAAAAAAACAACAAACCACGAAAAAAAAGTAAAAAATAGTAAGCTTCAGTCTGCATTCCGACTCAGTGACTCAGTTGTTTCTCTGGAGGTTGATAGGATTTTTCAAAATAAGTCCTTAAGAATTGTCTTGGATCTTTGAGTTGCTGAGAATAACTAAGTTATTGTACTGTGTACAATGTTCTGGTTTTACTTGTTTCACTTTTCATCAGTTCCAGGTTTTCCTGAAAGCATTCTGCTCATCATTTCTTATTGCATAATATTCCATTACAATCATATACCACAGTTTGTTCAGCCATTCCCAGATGTTGGGCATCCTCGAAATTTCCAATTATTTGCCACCACAAAAAAAGCTACTATAAATATTTTTGTACATATAGGTCTTTTTCCATTATTTAAAAAAATTCTTTGGTATGCAAACCTAATAGAACTATTGCTGGGTCAAAGAGTATGCACAGTTTTATAGCCCTTTGGGCATAGTTCCAAATTGCTTCCCAGAATGGTTGAAATAGTTCACAATTCCACCAACAGTTCAATAGTGTCTCAGTTTTCTAACCTCTCCAACATTTGTCATTTTCCTTTTCTGTCATATTAACCAGTCTGATAGATGTAAAGTGGTACCTCAGAGTTGTTTTAATGTACATTTCTCTAATCAGTAGTGATTTAGAGCATTTTTAAAAATTTTTTTATTAATTTATTTTGATTTATCAACAATCACTTCCATATACTTTTGAGTTGAAAATTTTTCTCCCCCTTCTCCCCCCCACCCTCCCCAAGATGGCACACAATCTGATATAGGCTTTACATTTACATACCCGTGAAACATATTTTCATATTAGTGAAGTTGTAAGTAATAATTAAAACCGATAGGAGGAACCATCAGAAAGATGAAACAAAACTCAACAGAAGGTAAAAATAAGTGATAGCGATTCGATTTCTTTCTTTGAATATGGACAGCATTTTCCATCCCAAGGCCTCTGGAGATGTCTTAGATCCTTGTAATGCTGAGAAGGGTTCAGTTTATCAATATTAGTCATCGTGCAACGTGGCTGTTATTGTGTACAAAGTTCTCTTGGTTCTGCTCACTTCACTCAGCATCAGACCATATAAGTCTTTGCAGTTTTTTCTGAAGTCAGCCTGTTCCTCATTTGTTATAGCACAATAGTATTCCATTACATTCATATACCACAACTTGCTTAGCCATTCCCCAATTGATGGGCATCCTCTCAATTTAGAGCATTTTTTTATATGACCGTAGATAGCTTTTATTTCTTCATCTGAAAACTGCCTGTTCATATCTTTTGGTCATTTATCAAATGGGAAATGACTTGTGTTCTTATAAATTTGAGTCAGTTCTCTGTATATTTGAGAAGTGAAACCTTCATCAGAGAAACTTGCTCAAAAATTTTTTTAGGAACATCATTCTTGAATTTTTTGTTCTTTTTGTATTTTTACAGTGCTATGTTTTGTTTTCCTGGTTTTGCATGATGCATACATCATTTTACGTGTCTTCCCATCCATCTTTGAATTTGTATTTTGTCTTTTATGTTCACTCATTTTGTTATCTTCACGTGCGTAATTTTTTTAGCCATTTCTCAGTTGATAGGCAGTAATTTCTTTTCCAGTACTTTCTTTCTTATCTTGTCTTTAGCTTTATCATTCTGATTGCCACCCTCATTCTCCCTTGATATTTTGCAAATTTAAATAAATGAACGAAAAAAGAAAAAGGGAATTATTATATCTTAAGAATTGGGGATATGAACAGAAATAATGAGGCAGACCCTGCTCTCAAGGAACTTAAACTCTCTTTGGGGTAGATAAGGCATATGAGATTCAGCTTCGAGGTGGATGGAAAGGCCAGGAAGTCCCCAAGGTGCATCAGCAGATGGATGATGGCAAAGCCCAAGGTGCTTAGGGTACACCATCAGGTCAGATTAGAATGCCAAGGAGTTTAGAAGATGTAGCATTAGGACAGATAGTAAGGCCATCTCACCACAAAACTTGATAAATGAAAAAACATTAAGCATTTAATACGTGCTAATACTATGGTAAGTGCTGTGGATATAAATTCAGAAATCTGAGAAAGACCTTGTAGTTACTGGTCTTATGTTCTAGTAGGGGATAACAGCACATGAAAGGGAGTGGTGTCCATGGAAGGGAGTCACAGGGATTGTGAATTGATAGATTTGGGAGTCATTTTGCATGCCCTTTCCAGAAGCCCTAGTATTATTGATTTGAAATTTAAAGCTAGTTTTGATTAATGTCTTTCTCCCCTCCTAATCCCTTCTCCTCCGTAGTGGGATAACCTTGTCATCAACATGGCATCTTCATATTTTCACTTTGCAACGCATCTTTCATGATACTTTTCAGTACATTAGGTGAACATGTCTCCTTATGTTTTATTGTCTTGATTGAATTTAAGGTAAACTGAGGCACAGAGCTCCAAGCACAATCAACTTGTTAGCAAAGCATGTCTTTTCCAGTAAACAGGGGCTCAGCCTCCTCAGCTAGCTGAGACCCTGAACAAGGGCTGACATTATTTTTATGGACAAGAGGAGGAGCATCCAAAAACTAGAAGGCAACATCATAGACAGGGAAAACAATGCAATTGGTTACAAAACCTGCAGCATCATAGATGAGGAAAACAATATTAAATGTTGGAAATTTGGAATGCAGGGCTAGCAACGACCCTTCCTTCCATCTTGTCACTATGGAAAGCTCATTGATGGTATCCATTTGCATGGTTAGTTGGTTTCAAAGTGGTAACAGACTAGACTTTCTTTTTTTTTCTTTTTTTTTTTTTGGCTAGGCAATGGGATTAAGTGACTTGCCCAGGGTCACACAGCTAGTAAGCGTTATGTGTCTGAGGCCGGATTTGAACTCAGGTCCTCTTGAATCCAGGGCCGGTGCTCTATCCACTGCGCCACCTAGCTGCCCCTGGACCAGACTTTCTTGAAGGACAGCCAGTAGTATGGAGGTAATAGATCAGAATTCCTGACATCTACCTTCATCTTTCAAGGATAACTGCTATCCTTGACACAAGAATAGAACAGTGATTTGATTAGCAGGAAAACTGAACTTCTGAACTTAACTCAGAGACAACGAGTGATTTATAGGAAAGCTGAACCTCCAAACCTAACTCAGAGTCAGATGAAACGTGACTTAGGTAGTTACACAAAATGTCAGTGGTGATACAAAATGAAATCAGTTACAGAAGAGAATCAGTTTGATTTTCTCAATTTTCAATAATTCATTTGATTTCACCAGTTAGTGGCTTGTTGAGTAATGCTATCCCTAGTTGCATTGCTCATACATTCTTATATGATTTTAATATACTCAAAGGAGACACCTTGCTAAGGGGGACCTTCATGCTACCTTTGGTATAATTTAGGCAAAATTTTCTTTTAAATCAGTAACACAGTAGGGCCTTATATTTTCTACACTTCTCCATTAGTTGTACTACCTTAAAGATGTAATGGAGAAGATAATTTGAATTGTATAACCTTAAAGATGTACAGTGGAAAATAATCTGAATGTTTCTCATGAGAATCTTTCATCAAGGAAACCTTAATATGTACCATTTTTACACAGTGGTTGATGCTATATTTAAATTTTTTTTTTTAAAGTGAGGCAGTTGGGGTTGAGGGACTTGCACAGAGTCATACAGCTAGGAAGTATTATGTGTCTGAGGCCAGATTTGACCTCAGGTCTTCCTGACTCCAGGACTGGTGCTCTATCTACTACACCACCTAGCTGCCCCTAAACTTTTTCTTAAGGTTGTAAAATCACTGTAATGTTTTTCATTCTTTTTGAATGTTTTTTCTTTCTTTCTTTCTTTTTTTTTGGGGGGTGAGGCAATTGGGTTAAGTGACATGCCTAGAG